AATAGCTCAGTCAGTATAGTGACTAGCTACGGGCTGGACGACCGGGGCTCGATCCCCGACGGGGGCAGAGGATTTTTCCTCTAGCCTCTGCGTCCAGACCGGCTCTGGGGCCCACCCAGCCTCCTCTACAATGGGTACCGGGATCCTTTCCCGGGGGTAAAGCCGGCCGGGGCGTGATGCTGACCACTCACCCCCATCTAGTGCCGAGGTCAAGGAAGAGAGGAGCTATACCTCCACTCCCCCCAAACGCCTATATGGCGTATAGTGGGACAAACTTTACTTTACTTACTTTACTTTAATACATAGGGCACAACGTATTCTAGGATTATGATTTTTTTGGAACGCGTGTATTTTGTAAAAAATTGCCCGTCCTCGGAAGCAAGTCTTAATCATTGCATGAATATGTATTTTACACTGATACAGCCAGTCATTGAAATGATGACTCTAGTGAAGTGGATGATTTATCTATCATTATCGGTGCTGGTGTATTCGGGATATCCTCGGTTCGAATCTCAACTGTTCGTGCCACAATGCACGTAAATTTTAAAATATAATTCGTTTTATATTTCAGCTTAACATCTGTTTATAAAAATTACTGACAGAAAATAAAACACATTGTTCTTGTTCATGGTAAATAAATGTAATTTGAATGTTATTTATATTTTTCACGTTTATAAATAAATGTTTTGAAATATCCGTTTGGTATGGGAAAGAACGACAAATGATTGAATATCTCACGGCTTATGGAAGGATAATATTAAAATAAATCTTAGAGAAACAAGGTAAATGATTGGTTTAGGATAATGTCAGATAAGGCCGAGTCCTTAAACTAGATAACAAATCTAAGAGTTTCTTAATAGCAAGGAATATCTAGGCTAGTCGAATAAATTTTAAATCGAGAACAATATATGCCTAGAATGTAGTTGATACAATTTTCTGAACAAACTAATGTATTAACCGGCAAACCTTTTAAGACATATTCTGTAAAACATTTCCCTTGAAACATCAATCCAATTTTGGTTACATATGAGCAGGGTCTCCGCTCTCAAAAGAGTTAATATACTGCAATTTATTTAATTTCTGTCGTATTAAGAATCTGGTACGGCACAGTGACCACATAATGTACGTAGGTCCCATTCTACTGCCCTCTAAAGGAATGCAAGGTCGATTTTGCAGTGTGTGTCTTTGTGGGGTGGGGTGGGGTGGGGGGGTTTCGGGAATGTATTCAGTATTTCCAAGACGAGACAGGGGCATTCCCTCTCCCATTTAAGACGTTAGAGAGGGGAATAAAATACATAATACAGGAGAAAAGCTTGTTCTGTGTCACGGCTGGATTTATTTCCCTTTGCAATGTTCCTTTCAGACCTACTTACCCAGTAGGAAACACATATGAGCGAAATCTGCGTGGTTGACAAATTTATTTTATTTTGTGATGTTGCCAGTTGTATTAATTTTTACTGTACTTCTTTGTTATATTTGTAATGTTATTATTTCAAGGTCATTGCTTGTTTTAACCTGTTTGCTTTTATATATATATATATATATGGCTTTGGTTAATTCGGTGATGAACCTTCGGGTTGGGTAAGCCATCTAGTTAGTTAGTTATACACACACACACACACACACACACACACACACATATATATATATATATATATATATATATATATATAAGAGGAAATTCATAAAGACAATTTTATGTTTAAATTCTGTGATTTAAAATTTAAATATAGGGATAGTATCTCGTAGCTTCGATCCCCTCTTAAACTACCTTATGTTGAGATGAAATCTGTTTTTTTATTCGTAATAGCGAAAATTACTCTGGCGTCCTGACGAAAAGAGGGTTTTACTGAGAAAATACACGCGGGGCTGTGTTTAGCATACATTTCTATTCTTCCTGTTTTAGTTTAAACAAGTCTGAGATTATATGAATGACCTTCAGTTTATGGACTGCTTGGGACAAACACGTGGTAGGAAGCAAGTTTTGGATAATTTATATTCCTTTTAAAATAATTAGTTACTTTGAACAGAATTTATTGGCTTGTGTAAAGCAAACAAAAAATATAGAATTAAACTAAGATTATAAACAATGCATAAATGTTATTTCCTCATCTGTATATTACACATCTTTCGTCAAGTAGACTTCCTTCATCAGCAGGTCTCAAAAATTGTGTATGTGATTTTAAAGGAAAAAAAACATTAGACCGATTACAAAGACAATAGACCGGTTATAAATCAGTTTATTCGAATTTTAGACGTCAAATTCGCTTTGGGAACCCCCCGGGCCCCTATCCAATGACACTGATCTCCAAGTGGGTAAATTTTTCCATTCGTTTTTAAGTCTCAGCCCATTCGTATTTCTTTTAAGGTGCGTAGTTTTTTTGTTGTATGTTCCGATATACCGGGTTCGATTCTTTGTCAGGGTTTTTGTAATTTTCCTCAGTCCCTCAAGTAAACGGACAGTATCTGAAATGAAGCCGCGACCACTGCTAAAGTATCCAAAACCTATTATATAACAGACTTTTGAATGCTCGTATGTTAGTATTAGTTGGAACTTCTTAACGCCTCTGAGATCAGTTCACAGCTTCAAACAGCTGGTTCGTATCGAGCACCAGATGTGATCTTGTAAGGGTTGGTTTATGTTCCAACCTCAAGGATGTTTGTTAAGAAAACAAACCACATAATCGTGGAGAATTAACTCAGGTTCTCGAATCAGCCCATTTCTTCGGACTGAAACATCAAGAACCATATAAATACGACGCCTCTCTTAGTGCGTGGTTTGTATCCTGGAGTTTTCTGGAATGCGTTTTCTTATTTTTCGCGGTAAACCTGTCTTATTTATATCATTTATTTGTTGTTTGTTAAACGTTTCTGTCAGTAGCTGAGACTTTTGAATGAATGTGTCATTAATGTAAGAAGGAAGGAAGTCATCGTTGTCTGCTTTGAGGTATTCCTGTTGTATGGAGGGACTGAGAAAAACCACAAAAAGCCTAAGTCAGGAGTGTTTCATATTATTGATGTTTCCTATGATATCCTTTCGAATTCATAACTTTTAAATATTTTTTATATTTTGTTTTATGATAATGTGTAATATCAAATCTAAAACTTCTTGACGATGGTGAAGAGTCAATTGAATAAAAATTTTCTTGGATGTTATCCATCGTCTAGTAAATATAAAACGTAAAACGACGTTTCGGAGATGGGACTCTATCTCAATATCCAAGGAAATTTTTATTCAATAATGTGTAATGTTCATCTTTGATGTTTTTTAAGTTCTATTTTTTAGGCGTGATCTATTTTTGTAATATTTTGATTTGTTTCTCCAGGAGTTGAAGGAGACTGGATTTTTTTTAATTCGGTGATGAACCTTCGGGTTTTGTAAGCCATCTAGTTAGTTAGTATGTTAGTTGATTATGTAATAAGGCTACGTGTCAGCGGAGAGTTGTATCAGGGGCTTAACGTTTCTCGTTCATATTTCTTGTGATTATTTCAGATAATCCAAAAATATGGTTAACCCATAGGAAAAGGCTAGACTGATTATTGGAGGCATTAATTTGCTTTATCTGTGAACAAGATTATAAATGTCTTTGGTCTAATTCTCACATTTCTGTAGTCAGTAATCCTTCTGTTACGAACGCCCTGTGACTTACAAACAAGCATGAAAGCTACAAACATAAATTTTATTTATGCTAATGTTTAAGTTTATGTTGAGGATACGGTGTTGTTTCTTATAATAGTGAAAGTACACAAAGACTTTATTATGAAAATTATGAAAATTTTATTGTTCTTAATCAACGATTATTGTGGTAGTAACAGGTAACAGAACTTAAATTGGTTAAATAATTATTATAAATTTTCGATTATTTTATAAAAAAATATTGGTCCTATGTCAGTAAAGTAGAGAGTTTCGTCTCCGTTAAAGTTTGTCTTTGGCGCTTAATTTAACACAGCGTTCTGTAGACACTCGGTAGTAATTGAACGCGAGTGTTTAACGTCGCTCTACTGCCTCTGGGTCTTCGACGGAGGAACCAAGGTTTCTATCTTGTAGATGGCTGGTTAGTATCCAGAACCGTTCTGGAAGTTGTGTCGAAGTTTAGACTTTTTCCTGCCGGGAATCGAACCTCAGGTGCTTAATTTAACACAGCGTTCTGTAGACACTCGGTAGTAATTGACTTTTTCCTGCCGGGAATCGAACCTCGGTAACAGCCGACTTTTAACCAAATTTGGATTCAGGTACGAATATTTCGCTTCAGTATAGAATTATTCGTAATAATCCATTTAACGTAAGAAACAAATTAAAAATCGGAAGAAATACCTGTGAAGCTGTATGAAAAATAACCGAAGTCTCGTAGTTTGGATATAAATCGAAGAAGGATTTGAAATCGTCTATGAACCTACATGAAAGCGTAAAAATTAACGTTAAATAAACTTCATAAGAAACAAGACAATGTTATCAATCCCGTCGGAATCCATACGTACAAATTAATTAAGCAGTAATAACTTTGAGGAAGCCTACCTTTTTTCCCATCTCCTCATGACGACGAAGTGGCTACAGACGTGATTAATCTCAACTTCTGTTCATGTTCCCACCAAGCCATCATGTCCATCACATCTTCTCCTCCACCTGCTATAACATCCTCAGACACACGTTCCTCCCCTCTTAACCGTTCCTCCATCTTTACATGTGTTAACACACCGGCATTAGCCTGAAAACTCTGATGATGAATTACTGACGTAGAATTAAAACTGGCTGCGGTCGGCGACGAAACGATTTGCAGAGTTGGCGGTGATGTTACGAGTTGAAGGGTCGTCGGTGGTGATGTCTGCAAAGACGTGGGAAACGATGGATGGTAAGATGCTGAACACGTGGCTCGTAACATGGCAATATCGTCGATATTTGTGGTTTCAGGCGACAGGGATTGTTCACTGTAGTCTCCGGGTGATAACGAGGACGTTGGGTGAGGTCTGATAGTACCGAGGATAACAAGTTCGTTAGAAGATGGCTCTTGGTAAGTGTTAATGGATGTCGTCACCAGAGGATGTGTCTGAAGTTGATGAAGATGGCTTTCTGAATTGATATAATGTTCGTCTTTACACACGTTTGGAAACGAAGGAGATATTGGAGTAAAAGAATCTTCTACGTCATAACCGGAGTTTTCTACGCTGTTGGTAATGTCTGATTGAGCTTTTACAAGTTGGATGAAAGTGTTCGTGCCTCTTATACGGTGGTATTGAGGAGCGAAACAGGGGGTTGTCAGATTTGATGATGACGACGGTGATGTTGGATCAATGAGGGATGTATCATCTTCGTCTTCAATGAGGTTAGGTGGATTTGTGAAAGAATTAGCTGGTGACGATGGTGATTGAATGATGATAGATGTTTGTGATGATGTATCGGATGAATTTGGTGAATTGCTAGCTTGGATGTTGGTATCTGAATCATTATTATCATCCATTGATAACAACTGTTGAAGGCTACGTATATAATCCACAGCCATTCTGAGGGTTTCAACTTTGCTAAGTTTTTTGGTTGAACGACCACCTGAAGGTGACGCACCGGATGAATATGTTGATGATACCGACAGGGGGATGTGTTGTCTAAGGGTAGCGAATCCGTTGTTAACCTGTTTAACCCTGTTTCTCTCACGAGCATTCCGACGGGCGACAGCCACAGGAGGAGGCTGATGGTGGCTTCTGGGGAGGTTAGCACCCAAAAGGGCCGGTTTCTTTCTTATCTTAGTCGCACTGTTGACCTCGACAGTGCCGTTGCCAGTCATGGGTTCGTTGCTGTCTGATACGCTCTCTACTGGCTTGGTCTTTTTCCTTAAGATTAAAACTTCATGGCGTTCGAGATGTTCATCAGAACCACTGTTATTTGCACTGTTTGTGGTGTGTTGAAGAATCTGAAGTTTGTTGGAATGTGATGACGTCATTGTATTAGAAAATGGCACGACACTCAAAGTAGCCATGACTTGAATTTATATGTTATTCAACTTAATAATGTCACTTCCTAACGCAAATCACAATTGTTCATATTTGTGTGTAATTAAATGTATTATTTTATTTATAATATAACTACATGACGTTACTGCAGTTAAACTCGTCGTTTTAGTATCATATATGTAGCAATTAAACATTTCACTGTGTTCTTGCGTCTTGTATTTGTACATGATTAAGTACCGTGTACAGTGTTATGACGTTACATCCACCATGTTGGTATTAGTACGCACTGACATATTTAAAATAACACACAGCGTTCTTCATGTTATCATTCATCACTAAATACACAGAAAGAAAATTTAATTACTATCGTAAACACAACGAAAAATAATCTTAATGAATGGTGTGACAGGAAAAGTAGATTTTTATTTATAATATTCAAAACACGTTTTACGAACCTCACTTGTTTTTTTTTTTATATATATATTCGCCGCCTGGTTCAGTTTACCGCCACATACGCCACCGAGTCCTATACACTCAAGTATTCATGAAGTGTCTTAAATTACACAGTTATTCGTCTTGAATGACTACGACGTTGAACTTTTTTTTTTTAATTCCTAATTTCTCGCCACTTGCGGCTACCAGTTAAGAGATTACGTCATCACAGTCGCGTGCTGAAACGTATTCATCGCTACTGTAAACCCACGTCTCGCGAACGTTTGAACTCGTACAGTTATCGACACTTTAAAGCAGAGGCTAGAGAAATCGAACCATCGTCTTCATACACAAGAGACCCAATAAGGAAGTTTTTCCGTTCTTAGACCAACGCAACCGACGGATGACGAAAGCTAGAGAGAGAAACATAGGGAAAAAAAAGTTTCCCCTACTAATCCAAACCGAAAAAAGAATATGAACAACAGAAGGTCTGTTGCGCGCATTGTGCGTAGAAACTGTGGTGAGGGGAGAAGTGAGGTTATGTCAGTTGCGGAACGGACATTTTCGTACGTCCCGTTTATCTGCAGGTACTAAACCCAATTACGAAGACTTACATCAGCAGTATTCGATTAAGTTTACAAAATTCTAAGTTCGTAATCATTTTGCAATGAATCCGTAACGATTTATAATCTGTTATAATTAAATCTATAGTTTATATAATAAAAATTGTTTTAACTAAATAAAATAGTGTCGAATGCAATGGTAATACACGAAGTTGCTTAGACGAAGGGGGGATGAAGATTAAACTCCACGAATTCTTAACCCGGACATTATATTTTATCAGGCGTGACGTTTGTGGTATATTTGAAGTAAATGCCACAGGATTTACGTGGAAATAAACAGAAGCTTCGTCTAAGACTCGAAATTCATAACCTAAAGAAAGTATCACAAGGCTTGAGTATGAGCTGTATAGTATTTTTAAATATGCCACGACATTTTTAACCTAGTTTTATATTCTTCGACGTTCAAGAATCTGTCAGAAACAAAAGTAGCAATTATTTTTTTCAGTTCTTAGCTAATAGGAGTTCTGATTGGTGGTTGGATGAATCTCCAGTGTGACGTTATCAATTAGAAATCTGAAAGTAATTATGACACAACCGTTATGAATTGGTGCCACCTAGAATTGAAAATGGTGGTTTATGGTAGAAATGATACAGGATTTTATTTTTATTTTACATGTTTTCTCGACTACAATTCGAAATTAAAAACTTGTAACTAGATTTACGGAATTCTATTTTCAAGGTCGCATCTAACACGTATTATTTGTTGTTTTAATTCGATCTATTTGTTTCCTGGCTACGAAAGTGTGTTATAACGTCGACACACGTATTACAGTATGAACTATGACGTCCGGAATTTATTATTAAGAAAGGAAGTTGCAGTCTGATTTTAACCAGTAACAAATACCAAATTTCATTTGGAGGTCATGCAGTTTTAGTGAGGTAGGTACACACAGCTGTTAGAGTTTGGAGTGTGGCTAGAGGAAAACAAGTTTTTTGTATCCAGTAAATAGTTGACACTGCTTGATTCTTACGTCATGATACTGATATATCATAAATGTATAAGAAATTAACGCATATAAGGCTGGTCATGTCTTACTGCGTGTATGATTCAACTCGAGAACTGCTGGACAGATTTTGATTAAATTTGGCTTTCTTAACCTCGTTATCAGAAACTTATGTGAGGTTTACTACAACCGTCGGAACGTAAATAAAAGAATTCATAACCAATGCATGGGAGATTATGTGGCCTGGGAAATGACTTGCAAGTTTTTTCGCCTTTGTCGGAAATCGAACCAAGATCATTCTGCACGTAGCCAATCATTTTATTCACTGAGCTGTCTAGTCGCAACAAATACTGAAGAAAAAACAAAATTTAATTAAAATTGCTGATTTAAGAGCCCTGATGATGGAGGCAGCAAGGACCTTTGACTCTTCGGCTAACTTCTACCACATCTTAGGACTCACTGCCGTGAGAAATTTAAATTTTACTAGAACTCTACCAAGATACCTCCTGGAATTATTATTTATAACTGCAAGAGTTTTCTCAGTTCTGTTAGGAAGCCAGAAACATATTGTTCAAGTAATAAGCAGTTAAAATTCACATAACGTACTGAGATTTTGCACACGATTTGAGGTACATGCTGTGTGCAGTCGAGGGAGGAGAATGGTCCACTGTTCGTGATAAGGAAGTAGATAGTGGGTTTCGAGCGACTGGAACCGAAGGGTTTGAGGATTTACTTTTCATGTGAGGAAGATAAGTATTAGACTGAAAAACAGGGTGGTTCGAATTTTGTCTTGTAGTGGCAATCTGTAGTAACTCCTGGTACTATTTTTAAAAACAAATATTCAGTTAACATTTTTAACAGTATTTAGACAAATTATTATAATTGTCTTCTGGGTTGCAGCACCGTGTATTCCAATAGAAGTTTACCGACGTTTCGGAGATGATTGTTGCTTCCATAACCAGGCCCCTGATGGAGGTGGTAAGTAGCTCTGAAACGTCGGGTAACTTCTATTGGAATACACGGTGCTGCAACCCAGAAGACACCAAACGTCATACTATAATACTTATTTAAATATATTTTATTTAAATAGTACGTAGATTACTGTAGAGTGGCGTATTATTTTAAATTTGGTTTGTATCTAACACGAATTTTACCCGAAAAGTTTTGCGTTAATGTTTTAAAGTTAACAACAAACATTTTACACATACTTCAAGCAGCAGACGAGACGTGAACCATAATTTTGTTATCATTAAAATCATTGTGTGTCAATGAATAAAGAAGCTTGTAGAAAGAAATTAATAATTAATTTCACGAGACTGCGTAAAAGTGGTCTCTGGCCCGACGTGGCCCGCGGTCATCAAGTTAAAAACGCTGCTCAGGACAAACTACAAAGACAAGGATAAATAATTGTTATGTGCTTTCGTATGAAAAGGATGGTCTCTGATGAACGTATTTGAATGAGGACCTTGGATGAGGGAAGTGTCAGTTTTTTTTGGCTCGATTGTGGGGCCGGGTTTTTTGGGGTTTGGGTGAGAGGGGGGGTACAACGACGTGCGCGAGGAATGGGGCGCGTGGCTGTAAGCGTGGCAGACAAACCGCCTGGTTCACTTTTAGCTGGTCCCTTCCATACCTTTACAATCCCCATTCAGACAAAAAGTAAAATATAAAATACTGATGGTTGTTAGAGGTATAAAAGGTAGGCAGAGGGGGGGGGGTGGTAGTTGTACAGCAGCCCAAGATTCTCAACATCTGTCGGCATGTGCTAACCAAACCTACCTCCTGTTCTGTTAGACGGGTTGCCTTCACTTCACCCCTCTGCCATTTGAGCCACGGAGCTAAGATTTAGATCAAGAATGACGTAAGTGACAGGGTTCTAAAGTAACCATTAGATCCGATACGAAATTTTTGCAGCCTGTTGCTGTGTCTTGCTTTGATGGTTCATCAAATGCGTAGGTTATCGTTAATTGATATTTCTCAGCTGGTCCAGAATTTTGTAACTGCTTCTGTTCTTAAGTTGTTTATTTAAACACGCTTCATAGTCTATATCAGTGATGTTCAACCTGGGGTACGCGTATCCCCGGGGGTACGCGAAGACATCTTAGGGGGTACGTGAAATTTAAAAAATATATTATTTTATGATAAACACTGTATAATGTGTAAAGTAATTTATTTAATTTATTTTAGATGTAGATTATATACTATTCATAACTTGAATTATACACCAATAACTTTGGGGGTACAAAGTTCAAGAAAAATTATATCTGGGGGTACGCGAAGACATCTTAGGGGGTACGTGTCTGCTGCATGGAGTTAATTTATTGAAAATGACAGCGCCTTGTAGTGTCATATAAAAGTTTGCCGACGTTTCAGAGATGCTTACAATCCCCATAAGCGCAGTACACCAGAACTCTGTCATCTTTAAATTAATCACTACAAGATACTGGTATCTCACCAGATAATTTGATTTATCCAAAGTAACCCTAAAATTCTGTACAGAAAGTACTAATACTTGTTTAATTATTACAAAATATAATGAAAGATACATTTCAGTTACTCAAAAGGCAAAGAAATATGTTTAAGTGACCTAAATGGTTAAGTAAAGTAAAGTTTGTCCCACTATACGCCATGTAGGCGTTTGGGGGGAGTGGAGGTATAGCTCCTCTCTTCCTTGACCTCGGCACTAGATGGGGTGAGTGGTCAGCATCACGCCCCGGCCGGCTTTACCCCCGGGAAAGGATCCCGGTACCCATTGGATAGGAGGCTGGGTGGGCCCCAGAGCCGGTCTGGATGCAGAGGCTAGAGGAAAAATCCTCTGCCCCCGTCGGGGATCGAACCCCGGTCGTCCAGCCCGTAGCTAGTCACTATACTGACTGAGCTATCCCGGCTCGACCTAAATGGTTATTACCCTGTTTACAAAATTTAACTGTTGGACCATATTTTGAGTGAGTTGAAATACCCGACTTTAGACCGTAATTATCTACGTTTTGAATTTATATTATCGCCCCATCTACACATGGATCTTCCGAATAGACTCTTTCTTTGAGATTCTCTATTCAATATCTTATATGCCTTTCTCATTTCACTATGATTAAAATGTATTCTCGTACATTTCATTCTCGTGTTTATTATTATAATTATTATCGGGCATTGTTAATTGTTATTCTATACCTTATAAAGATTATTTCCGTCCTGTGTGGGACAGAGCTTATTTACCTTCACTTTTACGGATCCAAAACGTAACACTACAAGAGACACGTGTCCTGTGATAGTAACCAACTGAAATATCTTAATTTTGTGATTTATTCCGCTGTTGCATTAAATCTATCCAAATGCGACCCTCTGTACCAGCTACCTTGCTCCTCTCTCACCCTTTTATATTCACAACTGCTTATCGGTCTGTGCAAAGATCCCGTTTTGAGAGCACATGTGATCTGGCACCGGTATTCAGAAGGGATTTATTATTTTATAAGCGAGGGGGTGAGGTGTTGGAACGTGTTATGGGGTGGAGAGTGGACACTTGCGAACTGGGGGTTCACCCCATAATAACGTTAGCATTTGCAGCAAGAATTTTCCACCTAACAAGTCTGTACGTAGCGTTGTTTTATGATCACAGAGCAAAATGTTTGAGGAATCATATTACACAAATAGAGGAAAATGGATTTGCTTGAAGGAAATATGTAAAGTAGATACAAGGATCTTTTATGTGTGAATTTTGTCTCGTCCTGTCCCAACACATTGAAGAATATTAAATAAATTGGTAGTTGTAAATAATTTGCCCGTAATGTTATGCTTATAACATGGGGATATAAAAC